CAGAACAGTGTTTCTGACTTGGCCATCGTCATCTTTGCCCTCTGACCCCCAACTACACATTGCTTTGCCTGATTTGAAGGAATAATGTTAAAGTATTCTAGTAGAGGGTATTGAACTAACACCACCAGACTGTCTGGTAGGATGTCATGACGGGGCAATGATTTTGTTTAGAAATTCATTAAATGACCAGTTTGTATACATGTGAATGTTCAGGCTTCTCAGTCATACTCTATTTTAAGCTAACTTTAAATATTTTTTAATTTAAATTGAGTGGAGTTTGTGATTAAGATTTTTTTTTTCTTCCCTTTGCTCACTTTAAGACAGTGGTTGACACTGAAAATTTTAAATACAAGTGGTTTTTTATTTCATGTTGGCATACTACCTCAGACACATGAAAAAGTTCGCTGCTAGAACTGTGGGTGGCATCTGCTCACTTCTGTAAATACAAGTTTCCAGTAGACCAGACAGGATTATGAAATGCACATCAAGGGAATACTGGAGTTCAGGATATGTATTTGAGCCTATTTTTCATATGAATAGTGGTGGTTTCAGTGAGCTTCACCAGGTTATTCCCTCCCCTTAGACAAACCTGGAGCATGAGGGAAGGAATCTCCAATTTATCTGGGTATGTAAAATCTTCTTACCGCAGTCAACTGGGTTTTAACTTTTCTTCTATTTTTTCCCACTGTCTGTGGACATACTGCTTTAAATTAGGATGAGGCTATGGAAGGAGAGTGTGTTTCCACTCCTTGAGAGAGGGAAACATTGATGTATTGGTTCCCATGCCCCTAGGTTATGATGTCCAACTAAAAGGTCTGCTAGCTAGTCAAAAAATTACTCCCTTTAACCAAGTAAGTTTAGAAGCTGAGAAAGATAATAGGCAAATGCCCTTTTTAATAGATCTGTATTAACTGAGAGCTAACCTCCTAATTTTCAACCATGGTGAAGCATAAACGTAATTAACAAATAGGATAAACTAGCTGAGGGATGAGTAGTAATTTCTTCTGAAGATACTTGTTTTCTTCAGGTGGTGGCAGTAACTCCTGCCTCAGAGGTAGACCTGGATCTTCACTTCAACCTCTTGTTTAAAACTTGTCGGACTCCAGCAGACATGCTATTTTTCATTTTTGCTTTGTTTGGGTATTGCTGTATAATGTCTGGAGACTGCTCATGTACTTTGGTTGCATCAGGAGTTTTTCTGACTGGGTGTTTTACCTGTCATATCCAGTGACCAAGGCCTCGGAGGGCAGTGCAGGGAGTGCTGTAGAGCATTGCATTCTCTATCGATCCCATCTACTTTAACACCTTAATGCATTTTAATCCCTTGCCAAATCCCATATTACAAGAATAATTTAATTGCAGCATTTCTTGTTAGAGGCTGGGAGTCTGACAAAGCTGTGAAACTTTGGTCATGTTTGGGGTTGGTTTGGTTTTTTTTTTCCCACTCTGTGCATTTATTAGCCAGGCTGGAAAACCCTGTTACAGACACCTGAGTAATGTGTTGCTTGCTTTTTCTTTGGTGTCAAAGAGCAGTGTGTTTGTCATAGCTTGCCTTTCAGCCCCACAAACCCAGCTGTCTGGGAAAGACAGTAAATCCTTTGGAGTTCTCTGTTTTGTCACTTTTGTACCCAGGAGCATAAGATCTTAATAAACTTCGTTATTGCTAGCAAATAATACAGCTTTTATGGATACTGAATCCTTTTAGACCTTTCATCTCTTGACTTGTGAGATTCCAAGTGGATTTTATACTAACAGTTGAAAGAAAGGACCGTCTTCCTCAATTTCTTCTTATTTTCTTTTGTTCTGTGTTAGGGTACACAGCAATGGTGCACTATGCCTGCCTTACAGATTAGTATCTCCTCACCAAACAGTGCCAGCCTCTTCTGTTCCATGAAAATCTTGTATCTCAACCGCTTGCTGTCTTTCTGGACTCTTAAACATGTTGTATTATATATTTTTAAATGAAGAATAACATGACAAAAGTATGTGTATTTTCTTAGCCCAAGGCGGCCTAATGCCCTCCTACATTTATTTTCCTATCCTATTCCTTCTAAGCATGACATCTTGCTGGCTTTGTCTTCATTACAATTCCTCAATGACATGTTGCAGATGTACAGTTTACAACACATGTTTATTTTCTTGCACGTGAGCTTTGAGGGCATGTTGGGGGTTAATGTCTATGATGAAGATCACCATGAGCTTGCAGATCCCCAGCTCCCAGGTATTTTCACTCATGTGTGGTCCTAGTAAGCATCTTGTGCGTGCTTTTTGCCTTGTAGTAGAAGCAAGTAATTAAACTGTGTGCTGCATTTCTTTGCACAAGCTATTGGAAGCAGCAGTAAGGAAAAAGTAAAAAGTAATGGTGTACCATGCAGAATCTGCTGCACAGTTACTTCTGTGATGGTGAGCTGGCTACTTTTGTTCTGAAAAAGGAATTCAGAACTGGGCCCAAATAGGCTTATGGATGTTCAGGAGGATTATGAGCAAATATTTATTGAGCATATTTCTGACTAATGCTTTTTAAATTTGTTTTGTTTTGGTGGTTTTTGGGTTTTTTTTAACCCCAGGATCATAGGTTTGAATGAAAAATGTATTGCACCAAACTCCTTAAAGCTGTTTATTGTGCGCATTAGTGTTGCAAAGAAAAAAGCAGGAGCTCTGGAGGGAACAGGGAGTAGATTTGATTTACAGTAGGAGAAATGAAAGTAGAAGTGAAAGCCAGTTGTATACACTCTGGCTTGATGTGAAATGAACACAGAACAAAATGCTGATAAGCCTGCTGTTTTTTCACCCAAAGTGACTTGCATACCAGGCCCGACAGAGCAGGTTGACTGTATCCACACGCTGTGTGCCTCACTCTCATGTCTAGAGGCTTGATTGTATCTGCATGCTAAGGTGTTACTAAAAAGCTGATCTTAGGTGACTTGCTTGAGGCAGAGCTGCAGTTCTGTTAAGGCGGTTTTTTTCTCCTGTAGCACTTTAAAAGTTTAATCTTTAGATGTAACATGGTGCATGTAGTAACAGGCAGGCTTTTGGTTTTACTTCCATTACCTGATTTTTGACCGGTCTTGTCTTTGTGGGAATGCTTAGTAGTTGTCTGTCTTTCCCATGGATGTACTTCACGCTGTAAAGTCTGAGGAAGAGTGATTCCCGAGTCTCAGCCAGTGAGTGGGGATAACGACAATGGACTGTAAACTTTCCAGAGTCTATGGTCAAATGTATTCTGCAGACTTGCCAGGCACAGATGATGATTTTCATAGTATGCTCTTTGCATCTGTTCTGTTATCCCTGTTCAGACACCATGTGCAGCATTAGTCTGTCTGGCCACAGACTTCTAGGTGTTATGTGCCATCCTGCTATGTGGGGACGTTTATGCATGCAGGGGGATGCTTATACTAGAACAGCTGCATTAGGCACGCGTAGGGTTAGAACCAAATACATTGCTCCACCAGTCGTCATAGGCAAAGTGGATATAGCAGATTTGCATAGTAATTTGTTTTGAAGTTCAGCTGGTGACAAGGACTGAGGTATAACTTGCTGTTATTTGTGATTGAAGTGGCTTGCAGTAATTCTGTACAGAAGCAGAACCTTATATAAAGTTTATGCTAAAAAAAAACTTTGGCCTGAGGAAGGAAAGTTCTGCATGAAAGCACAGGATTTCAAGAACTTGCTTTTTTTCTCCCCCTCTAGTTACAAAAAGGTAATTGCTCAAGACATCAGTTCTTTCTGAGCATTCAGCTGTACACAAATTGCCAAGGCAGGTTTTGATAGCAAGTGAGACTTTCTTCACTCTCCAACATAGAGTTGCAAATTAGTGATACTTTCTGATTTTCCATGAAGATTTAAGTATCTTCCGTTGTTGATGAAGTAGCAGTATTATGTAAGTATCTCATTGCAACACTTTGGATAGACATCAAAGTCCTTTCTCCAATCAGGACAGACAGAGATGGTTTTAAAAAACCCTATGAAGTTGTATTCCAGTTTTTTGTCAGAAAGAGCGTGCTGCCAGCACTTTCTTTTCAAATATATTTGACCACAAGTGAATTAAGTATGACTTTCTATATTGGCTCATAAATACTAGGATGCTTGGGTCTGGTTTGTTTTGCTCCGAGATACCTAAAGCAGCAGAGGGATTGTAGAATCTCAGTCTGTTCTAGATAGCATGGTTTAATGATTGTGTTAAGGCATCGTTTGCTGTAGTGCCAATAGCCACGTTATCTTGTTGTCCTGTTTCAATACATTCCCTGAAACATTTAGGTAAATAATTGAAACGACTGTTTTGGTGTCCAGCTAGTTTACTCTTAACCAAGGTTTCGAGGATGTTGGTGTGTCAGGAATTATTCTGAAAGGTCTCTAAAGAATTTTCACTACTGTTCTTCAACTGCAAGAGGAAATTGCACTCTCTCCAACTTCTTAAGAACCCAATTACCATTTCCTTCAGAAGAGCATCTGTAGAGCTGTGAATGAGCGAGCTATAACAAAACAAAACACTTTTGTGATATTCCTCCACCTCTCTGGTTCCTCATGTTCAGTTTCTATTGCAAAGCCCTACCGAGCCTTTCCTCATTTTAATATAGTTCAAAGAAAATGATCCTTTCAAGCCTGCTGCCCATTAATAAAGCAGTCGAATTGGTTTATCTAGCTTGCAACAGAGGTATTATTGTGAAGCATCTGGTCGGTTTTCCCCTATTATTAATAGGGGGACAACCATTGTGCCCTTGACTATTAGAGTCTCTGAACTAAAAAAAAAATGGGGAAATTGGGGGAGGAGTTAAATCTTTCCCCCACTCCCTTACACTTGGTTTAAAACGTGCCAGCCCCTCTGGGTAATTCATCAATCATATAAACATTGACCCTAGTTTTTGGCCAGAGGAAGTATTACATGCTTAGCTTAAAAAGTAAAAACAAAATCCCATACCCCACCAAAGAAGGACATCTGTTTCTAACTTCAGCTTTTTATTTTTTTATCTTTCATTTTTTTTTGTTGGTAAATCTCCCAGACAACAGCAGTTCTGTAGAGAGTTTAAATATGAAGGAATGGCAGGACGGGCTAAGGGCACTTCTACCGAACATTAACATCAACTTTGGTGGACTGCCCAATGCTTCTTCCCCCTCCAACGCCAACCACAGTGTACCAACGTCCAACACTGCCACCACCGACAGCCTGAATTGGGACAGCCCTGGCAGCTGGATGGACCCCGCAATTATCACAGGTAACCATTTCTCACTCCTTCAGCTCCGCTGGCAAACCATCAAATGGGTATTTGGCACAAACTGATTTACATCTGGAAAAAAAATAAAAAGTCAGTATGCGGTGGTCACTTCCAGCTTCCATCCACAAAACCTCAAGGGTCCAGGAATTTTCGTGGAACCGCTAGGTATAACAAAGCATCACTTAGGCCTTTGCAATGCATGCCCGGGACCTTTGCAGGCAGTCAGGCTGATCAGCGCTTATCTACAGGGTCAACATAGGTGTCCCTTCTGCTGGATGGCATGTCCGGTATGTGCGCCCGCTGGTCCTGAGGCACTGAAGACATTCACTGGACTTTGTTATTTAAAAAGGGACATACTCCACTTGTTTATAAAGCTCTCTTTTATAAGGCTGTTTGGTTTGGTTGTGTTTCCCTGTTAGAGAGGCTGAAGCATGATTCAAGTAGGCAGAGTAGGAGGTGAAGCATGCAGTGTGCTGGTAGTTTGGTGTGGTAAGGTCATGTCAACAGGAATGCAGTCCTTGTGCAGGATCTTTGATAGAAAAATGTATGTTTTATGAAGAAGTGCTCTGAGGAGGAACTTTCTCCTATCTGGATTTAATGTTAAATGTTTTGTGGGCAGGGTAATTATATAATAATGTAAAATGTGTTCTCTATACAAACTAATCATGTTTTCTCACTGTTGCTTTTTGTTAGGTTAAATTGACCTCCTTCGTGCTCAGCTTATTGCTTCTGCTCTGACTTGCCTATATCCCTGTTTTGTTTTCTTTTCTTCGTAGGTATCCCAGCCTCCACAGGAAACAGTTTAGACACCCTTCAAGATGACAATCCTCCACATTGGCTAAAATCTCTTCAGGCCCTCACAGAAGTGGACGGCCCCAGTGCAGCACCGTCACAAACGCACCACAGTAACCCCTTTGGCACACAGATCCCTCTGCACAGAGCCAGTTGGAATCCCTACTCTCCTCCTTCAAACCCCACCAGCTTCCATTCCCCACCTCCAGGCTTTCAGACAGCCTTCAGACCCCCCAGTAAAACCCCCACAGATCTACTACAGAGCTCAGCGCTGGATCGTCATTAGGAAAGGAGGAAAAAGAAAAAAAAAAAAGAAAAATAAAACCCAAAACGTTAGAAATGCAGGAAGTGTCCCACCCTGACTCCTCCCCATGCCCACCTACTGTTCCCTGTCATATCTTTCTTTCTGAAGAATCCAGTTCCTGATCAAACCTCCCCCCCCAAATGCAATGCCATCACAGGGTCATGACTGTATCTTTTTGTTAAGTTTCTGCTGTAAGCCAGTGTTTAAAATACACTGTTTGAAATATTTTCTAACCATTCTAAGGAAAAAAAAAAGAGAGAGAGAAATCAAAATGCAGTCTCAATGCTTAAGGAGAATATTACTGTCTTAAGTCTTTTGCACATGAGTATTTCTGCCTAGTGGAAAAGTGTCAATCTGCAGTGGAGGAAAAAAAATGCAATGCAGAATCAAATGCAGAAACATGAAAAAGGTATTTAATTTAAATGAAGTTACTGAACATGTGGGGCAAGCAGTGGCCTAGCATTTATTTTGCATTCAGTGTGGCACTACACAGGGGAATTGCTATGTTGGTTTTTTTTTTTTTTTGAGAAGGGGATTTTATTGTGTCAGAGTTTGACATGAAGTGTGTTGAAAGACAAAACACAGCTATAAGTAACTGGCATGTTGCTAAAGAGCAGTTTAAAGAGGGGAGAATAAGATTTTTCTTTAATTTTGGCTTTAGATTTAAAGTAAACTTTAATGTTTTAAAAGTATTCACAGATTTAATACCTAGTGTATACATAATATAATTATAAGCAGCTGAAACACGAGTGATATTTACTTCAGTCTTTCTGTCTCCTCTGTCAGTCTCTCTTTCTTTTTTTTTTGAAAAAAAACAAAGATTCACCTGATTAGGGCACTCTGGGATAGCACTGCATTGGGGCCACATGATCACCATCAGGAGCAACCTCTGACCTCCTCTGCCTGCAGCTTTTACTTAACCCTGTAGTTTCTGGACGTTTGTGCAGTATTGAAAAGACAGGAAAAAAGAAACAGATAAATAAACATGGTTATAACCTGACGCTAAAACTAAAACCAAGGAAATGTACCTCTTTCTTCAGAATTAAAACTAAAATCTTAAATAAACCAGAAAACTTGATGATGACTTTGCGTTTGCTTTTTTTTTTTAAACTTGGATTTTTGATTACTACATCTGGTAAAACTGTATGTCATTGTGTGGTGGTTTGATTTTTTTTTTTCCTCTTCATCTAAACTGGAGCTACTTTTTAATGGAAATATTGCTTTGCATGATGACTTCTGTATTGAAGGGTGGAAAAAGTATACACACTTCAAATTTTTAAAGGGATTCTCTTGTCTTTACTCATGGCAATAGCTAGAGGCTCTCTGGCCTTTATTGGTTGTATCCTTTTAAATCTGAAGCATAAAAAACTTGTTTATACTTTCTGAATTAAATGCCATGGCACTTGGGACAGATAGCATGCAATAATGTGTCTGAAGGCGTGGCAGAGAATTCTAGTTACAGCTCCCTGTTTCCCTCAGCATCTTCACTTAAAGGTGTAAAATACTGTCGCTGCACAACAGAGGATGCAGAGCTGTTAACATACAGAAGGCCTCCAACAAGCTCTTACACTTCCAGCCAGAGATACTCAAAACCAGCAACTCTGTGATTGGGGTGCTGGTTTGATGTAGCTCATGAGGATGGCAGAGCGCCTGAAATCCTAGAGATGCCTGTGCAGGAGGATTTCTTACCTGGTGTGAGCTGTGTAGTTCAGGCTGGCTGCCCTCCTAAAATGTTTGCTAGTGGCAGGGGCAAGGAAGGGAATTGATGGAGGTGGAGAAGACTGGCCTTTCATGGTCCAGGGAGTGTGGAAGCAAGTCCTGAATCAATGGCTGGACAGGGAAACTGGGCATTCAGGCTGCAGAAAGTGACGCTAAAATATGCTGCTTTGTAAAACATTGCGCGTTGGTGATTGCCCAGTTTTGCTCTTCTCTTACCTGTGTTGCCATTCAGTGCTGTGTTCACTGTCTGCATTAAGGAACTGCATGTGCTGTTTCTGGACAGGCAGCATTGCTGCGGATCAGTCGTGTGCCCTGGTTGCTTGGGAGAACGTGCACACCCTTTGAAGCCAACGCTCTCCTGCAAAGCAAACAATGTTTTTGTCACCCTGTCAGCCCCTGCACAATCCCCTGCTGTCGCTGCTGGTGGTGGAAGGAAAAGCGCTGCCCGCTGGCATTGCAGGCTGGGAAGGTCCTCTCCTGTGGCAGTGCCTGCTGCTGCCCCGGGCACTGGGCATGCAACCCAGTGGGAGCAGTCTGCTGGAGGTGCTGGTGAAGATGCAACAGGCTTTTTGTTGTTGGTTTTTTTTTTTTTGTCTCTCCTTCCAGAGTTGTTAGACACAGACATTTTTTGACCTTTACCATTTCTCTTTTAGAAGGGTGGCCTTCCTGACCCTGAAAATAAGCAAACCTCCAGAAGTAGCTCTAACTGCTTCTTATGTACCACAGCAGTTCCTGGAGCTGCTCCCTTTGGTTCATGATTCGCCTCTTTGTTGCAGTTCAGGATGTGCTAAGGGAAACCTGTGCCCCTGGTCTGCTACCACTAGAAAATAGGATTCGGCCGCTCAGGAGAGCGTTTACTGTCTTCTGCCATACAACCGCTTGTGTGGTGGCCTACTGACAAACTCTTAGCCTTCAGGAAAAGGTTTGCAACTGGAATGATTTTTCTCTTTAAGGTGCTGCCCCCTAATAAAGCCTTCTTGGTAGGTAACATCATAACATTAAAATATATCTGTGTTTGGGTTGACGTGTGGGGCTGCAGCTTCTGCCTCTTTCAGCCTAGTCTTGTCTACTGTCTGATGCTGATTCCTGCATCCCCCCAGTTGGGAAGCAACCTGGCATTTCACTCTGTTCGTCTGTGTGGAGCTCAGTTAGTTTCTTCTGAGGATTTTGTTGTTGAAGGACTCTTCCTGCGACGAGAAATTCTGTACAGGAACCTTTATTGAAGGGAGAGCATCCATGTGTCTGCTTTATCCGTGTGCCTGCTTTGTCCATGCAATCACCTTGATGCATAATCTGTTGTTGTTTTATATATTGTATGGACACTTGCAGCTCTTTCTTGCACTAAGTGAAGAACAGTGCTTGGCTAAGAGGCTGGTGACCCAGGACTAGCAACAGATTTGGTAGATGAGGTCTGGTGGAGATGAACTGGAGGAAGAGGGTGGACCAGACTCCTCCTCCAAAGTGGGTATGAATGTTTTGAGGGAAGGGAGGGAGTTGCTAGCCATGAACATGTTGGTACAAGAAGTTGTGTTGTACTTCTCAAAGAATTCTCAATCTAAGTGTGGTGATTTGGGAGTTGGCAGTGCTGGACTGAGGATAAGCATTCCTGGCTGCTGCTTTTTTTTTTCTTTCCAATATCTGATAAGGGAATGATGTTTCTCTGGATTACAGCAAGATGTATAATGTCACCTTCCAAGTAAGGTGAAGAGCTGTTGCATAAATTCCTTTTCCTTCCTTTTACAACTTCCCTTTCCTACTTGCAAGTCAAGTGTGAGCAGATATGTGCCCTTATGAATGCAGTGTCTTGACAGGGCTGCTCTAACCATACTTAAAACACCATTGCCAACTTCCATGACAGTTTTGATCATGCAGTGGAGTTTGTATTCTAGTTCCTGATCTCCAAACTTTTGTTTTCCTTCCTCTCCATCATAGACTCTTGTCCAAAAAGTTGAGTTTTTTTTCTGAGATGTTCATTTAATTACAGGCATTCAAGATGTTGGATTTTAGGGAAAATACAGTGTGTTTGGGTTTTCTTAGGGGAGTGGTTTGGTTTCAGTTTGGAGTTGTTTTTTTTTGGTGGTGGTTTGCAGTTTTTTGGCTTTGTGTTTTTGTTTTGGTTTGGATTTTTTACAGTTCGGTAGAGCTGGCTGTAATGCTGTAGAGGTTTTTGGCTTGGACACCATTTTTCTTCTAGGGGGAGAAGGGGTCATGCACCCATTTCCTGCCTCACCCTTGCAAGGGAGCTTAGAAAGATACACTTGAAACGGTTGTAGAACAGTTCCCTGGGTGCTGCTTGTTCGTCTCCTCAGAGTGTGCAGAAGTTCCCTAAAGTTGCAGAGGAGCTTAGGTTTGGTGTTGGACTCTAGCATATGTAAATCCACTGCGTGGCAGGTGCTGTATTGCCTGGGATTAATCCCCTCTGGGGAAAGCTGGAGTGCTGGAATACAAGTTTACTGCTCGTAACTGTGTGTCAGGAAACACTGAGAGGTCACAGAGCGCTTGAAAGGTTAGGGGGCTGGAGTTGTCACCAGCCCTACTTGAAAGGGTTGGAGGTACTCATAACTTCTTGAGGAGAATGAACTCTCCTCCAGTCCAGCTGCCAGTGATACGAATTTTTAGTGCTCACAGCAAATAATGTGAAGTGATATTTGACATGAATCCATGCATTAAGAGCAGTTGTTGCTTTACATCTTCCAGCAGTGTGTGGCTATATGGCTAGCTACGGAAGTGCTTTCCACTTCACTGATTTATTATCATCTGTGTGAGCTGAATGTGGATGTAGTAACTGTATGAACTTGTGCTCCTTCCTCTTCGCCCAAATCCCAGCATCTCTTTTCCCTACTTAGGGACTTTCCACTGATGGGAAATGACTCTCAGGTCCTGTTCTGTTTATTACTGTGGCTGTAAACACAGGTCCTAAAGAGGAAAAAGGCAAAGTATCATTCGTAGCTTTGGGTTACAGTGTAAGAAATGGTGTAGCCTCAGTACCCTCTGATCTACATATGAGAGCATTGTGTATGAGCAAAATCTTCGTCTTCCCTTCTTCCTAGGGTTTGCCTTTGCCCTAGGCTTACTGCTGTTACGGTGATGTGGTGAAATGAAGGCTTCTGAGATGGAAATGGCCAAATTAAGTTCTTGCCATACAAGTACAGGGAGCGAGAGCCACTTGCGGGAGATGCAGGAGCCTCATCTGCTGCATGGTGGAGGTTTGGGGTGAGTTGGGTGATCCTGGCAGCAACAGGTTTGTTACCGGCTTTGCTAATGAAAAGCGCTGTTGTCGAGTGGTCTGATGCAGCAATAGTAGGTGAGGAAGTTGTTTGAACAGAGGTGGTGTCACTGTGGAGGAAAACGGTGTAGAAAAGTCCTTGTTACAATCTAAAGCTGATGGGGGAGTGGGCTCCTCATGACCACCATAGGTCAGGCAGATCATCTCCTACAACACAGATGAGGTGGAGTTTTTCACTGGGATGCAGTCAGTGCACAGCTACTGTTGCTTCCTCCTGTGAAATTTTGCTGGATTACTACTTTGTTGCAC